CACACACCAAGCCATGTCTACAGGAGTGGTAGGGAAAAAAATTGAATGTCACCACTGATGTGGCTTCACATGAGTCAAGTTGCCTTTGGAGTCCTGGAAGTGATTGTCTCCAATGGATTAGACCAGAGTTTCTCAACCTTGACAATTTTCAGATGCTGGCTGAAGAATTCTGGGAGTTGAAGTCCAGCCATCTTAAAGTTGCCAAGGTTGAGGAACAATGGGTTCCCCCTACTTGCCATCCCAACATCCAATGAATTACTTTCCTGAATTCAACCTCAAAGCAAGGAACTCTGGGCCGACATGCAAAGGATTCAACCCAACTGAATTCCATTCAGTCCCAAATGCGGCTCAGGTAGGACCAAGCAAGGAGCTTCAGAGCACTTTCAGACAATCAGCCTTTCTGATGTCCGGCCTTTCTGGATCGTAACTTGGTTTGAGCTATTTCTAAAGCAAAGTAGGAGAATACGCCTCTATGTCTTGGAGGAGGCTCGTCCTTCATCCATTTCTACCTCTCTGAACTAGAAGAATCTGGGTGGAGAAAAAGCAACAGAGGAATTCTGGAGATTTGACTGGACATCTCCCTCTCGCCAAGCAGGAGAATTAGCATCTCCCCATTCTCCCCAGAGCACAACAATTGCTCTGCCTTGGGGCTGATCTGCATACCAGAGGAGGGACTGTCCCTTGTCTGGCAACCTCAAGTATTCACAACCGGTTTCCATAAATGATGCCGAGGCAAACATTAACAATGAGAATGCAGAAAAGTATCTTCCTGCTTATTTCAAGCTTGACCAATGTCTTCACTGGGAAAAAAACACACACAAAGAAATAAACAGCCAACCAACTAACCAACCAACATGGCAGCATTGAGGCAGTAAAAGAGAATTCTAATGCAGAGAAACGCTTCTCCTGGCATAGTAATGAGGAGAAAATGCACTTCACCTTTGCCATACCAACCACTTCTCTCTTCATTTACAGTTATTTATAGAGGACATTCAAATTCAGTATCATCCATTGTAGGCATTTGAGCAAATGTTCAGAGTAGCCCTTTGCATTTTAACTGCTAGAAGTGGAATTAAGCATTTCTATTCTAGAGTGGTCCCACAAAAACAAAACAGACCCTCCATTCCTCTCTCCAGGTATAGGTAGGGTTTGACAGCGTCCTCTCCAGGATCTCTCTCATGTTCTTGTTGGCTTCAAAATAACAGCTCCTGAGAAACCTTGGGGTTCAGCCTACCTGTGATGACCCTGGGCCCGGCACAGAGATAACACAAATAGCTGTCAGTTCAAACCGCCCCTTTATTGCTCCAAATTTCCCCAAACGCTCCCATGCTTTTGGCCAGTCCCAGAGCAAAGTGATGTCAAATCCCCACACACACCTCAAGCAGCCTCTGGCTGCAAATGGTCCAGCCCAGTGCTGTGTACAGCAAGGTTGCACAACAATAAATCCAGCAGGGCAAATCGAGGAGTTCAGGAAGCAAAGGATCCAGGTAGTTAATCCAGAAAGCCAGAAAGTATGCAAGGACTCTTGGGAAGTTCAAACATCAGCACTCAATACTTCGGGAACTCAGCATTTGTTCCCGACAAATGCCTCTCCCCACACCGTCTCCTTAAGTCTCATTCCCCAGGTGTGCCTTGTGAAGATGGGCAGGGCACTCTTCTCCCGAGTAGCCTGCTCAGTCTACGCTGTTCACGCCTTCTCTCCACTCTCCAAGCTCTTGGATCAGGAGGGGGTGGTCCTTACTCCTCGCCTGAGCTCTGTCTCTCATGTTCATCCTGCCCCCGTTCCTCCCTGTCTAAAACCTGTCCTAATCCTGAAAGGCCTGACTGGCCCTGCCCTTCCCCATTTTCCTCCAAAGCCAACAAAGCCGCCCCCTCTTCCCCCGCAGATTCAGGATCCGATGGGGGCATGACACTACCCTTGTCTTCCTTCCAGAACCCATAGAAGCTAAGGGTACAATGCTGCTGATAATTGGTGCACAGATCTCCTCTGACTTCCCTGCTCTGTCCCATTGGCCTTGCTCTGCCCCGATCCTCTAAATTCAGATTGCTTTACAGAGAACACATTCCTGCGTTTGTTCCTTGAGGAATATTTGCTAGCATCAGCATGTTAATGCCTCTGATCATGCACTGAATTAAACACACATGCAGAGGCAAGGGAGGGTCATCCATAGTTCAGCAACATTGCATGCCGATGCATAAAAATAGCTATTTTTACACTAGGAAGGAAACACGAAAAAGCGATTCCACAGATGGGAAACTCGAAGAGGCAGTAAATGGCACTTGCAGCAACTTAACTCCATTTAGTTCTTTACAGAGTTTTGTTGATACATAACCCCATATCATAACTCTTAGCAGTTCACCATAATCACAAAGTACAGTACAATACTTTCTTTTGTGCTTTTTGTGAGCTTCTTCAAGCCCTAAGTTTAGCTGATTTGGATCCTCTCTATCACAGAACATGGTTTATTAAGAGGTTTTCCAACTCAAGGTTTTCAAACTGTGATCAACATCAACAACTCAACATCTCCTGATCATGCTAGTCTTGGATTCTGTCCAACTCTGAATAAGAGACTCCATTCCAGGATCTGGCTGTCAAGTTCTCCTTCACTCCTAAAGATATATCTTGGAGAAAGACACCTTCAACCTGTATAACAACAGGAGGGCAGGCTGAACTAGCATTGCAGATGACCCTACCAAAAGCACCTAGAATTATTCTTATCGCCACACAATTGTTAATTTAACTAACTTTATTTATGCTTCCACTTGGGAGTGATGTGATGGCCTAGAGGTGGAGCTCTCGTCTCACAATCAGGAGGCTGTGAGTTTGATCCTATGTAAAGGCAGATATTTCTCTCTCTCTGGGCACACCGAGAATATATCTGCCGAACAAAAACTCCACATTAGCGACAGGAAGGGCATCCGGCCATTAAAACACTCTGCTAGCTCCATTCATAGTAGGTATTTCATATTCCCTGTTTATACTAATATAAAAGATCACAGTTTTTAAAAAAGGGGAGGTGCTGGTCCCAGATTTCATAGGGACCGTTATTATTATATGCCACATATGAATTAGGAAGCTACATAAATGTGATGAATGAATGAATAGTTCCAGAAATTAAATTCAGGAAATGTTCTATAATGATGTACATTAGTTTTTGCCAGTTGTATCTACATGTATATATACTTGGTAATAAGCCACAATAAATCTTTTTTTTTTCTTATTGGTTTAGCTGCATACTTTCTATATATATTTTCATGATCTTGACACACTTACAAATAGCATTTCCTTGGGTATCTATCAAAATCCAAATTTATATATTTATTTTAAATTGTTTTTAAATTTTGTGAGTATATGTTTGTTTTAATATGGCTGTACACCGCCCTGAGTCCTTCGGGAGAAGGGCGGTATAGAAGTTTAGTAAACATAAACATTCAGTTGCCCAGACTCCACCCCGCAAGGGATTATAGGATTGTTAAAAGATGATGGTGATTTATGCTTCCACTTTCACAAACAAGCAAAAATTCAATTCTTTGCTCACTTGCAAAGAATTGCACAGAATCCCCATAATACAACCAATCCTCATCTGTTTGACTGAACAGAAAAAGTGTGCATGAGAAAAGAGAGTTCACACCCTTGCAGGCAAAACTATCCTCTACTAACTGATTTTAGCAGTTTCTCAAAACCAGATGGGTGTTGACCAAACAAACAGAGACAAAAGGAGCTAGGAATTGCCTTAAACAACTATGACCATTTTGCTTGCTTCAAAGACTCATTCTGGCTTGCTCAATACAACGCGGTTAAAAGAAATCAGACTTCTTCAGCCTCATGAGCAAAGCAGTACGAAACTGCCCCAATAATCTTTTACTTGCGTACAAAAAGGACTCTGAGTTCTGTTCTGCTAATAAAGTGATCTGATGGTAAATCAGTGTGAAGCCTCACTGCGTATTTGCACCATCTATCCAAGCAGGAACTATGGAGAGGGTTTCAAGAGAGAATGGACTTCCTTTGCAATGAATCCAATCTATTGCTCAGACAGATGCACAGAAAAATCTTCTCCCCAATCCTTCAAGTACACTTTTGAAAAAACAAACAGATTTTATTAAAACAGCTGAGAATTAACTCATTCTCAGCGTATTCTAAATGAAATGAAAACAAAGTCCTTAAAACACCAGTCTTTAGTTTATCTCTGACCTTGGGATAATTAGGCAAACTGCCAAAGGCTTTTCTTGCCAACAGTTCAGGAACAGAAGAAATAACTACAGCCAAACAAGAAGCAATTCTCTCAATGGTTGTTTTCCGGCAAAGAAGCCAAGAGCTGTTGCTGGCCTTTTAAGCCTTATGGGAGGGGCCAATCATCTATTGGCCCTACTCCCGAGTCGTCCTCTCTGCTTTAGCTGCTCCTGCCTTCTGGCAGCTCTTCTCATACGTGCACTAGGAACAGGCTCCTCTGTCTTTCTACTGTCAGCCTCTGGAGGCTCCAAAGTCCGCACATCACTCCCCCGATGGCCCTGGCCCCATCTCTGCCTCCGACGCAGAGCGCTCATCTGGGCCTTCCCCAGCCTTCAGGACTGGCCCATGTTCCTCCCCAGCCTCTTCACTGTCCAACTCTGCTGCCAGCTCCACAGCTGGCGGACCACAACATTACTACCGGTTCTTGCGAACCGGTCTGAACCGGGGGCAACCCACCACTGCTTTGTATTCTTGAAGAGTTACATTTCATTTCCAATAAACAACTCAAAACAAATAAGAAGGAAAAGAAAGAAGTAAACCCAGAATGTTTCCTTGCAAAGCAGAAGAGATCTACCAAAAGACACCTTTAAGTTGGTGCAGACAAACAGAGACATCTTTAAAATACAGTATCATCAGTTGAGTTTCCTCTGCCATTTGAAATAAACCCTAATCTCTAACCGGGCCTGGCCAATCAGAGGTTGGCTGTCTACTGAATGGCATGTGATGAGGTATTCCCACCTTGGCATCAGCCTGAAGACTCCATACTTACTCTTGAACAGCTCTGGCTATTGAGAGGGCTGTGGATCCAGTCTCATTCACGCTATCCAAAGTCACATTAGGTAGGTCATCATCATCACTGTCGCTTTTGATCTGTCTGGGAGACAGGCCACGAGGTTCCATTTGTGCTGGGAATCAAGGAAACACAATTGGTTAACGACAGCACTGCGACATTAATATTGCTCTGTAACAACATTAAGATGGGCACGGTCCCTCTATTCGGCATATGCCCTCAATGTATTTCTTATTCTTGTTTAGGTCTCAGGAACAGCTCCCAAGAATTTATTTAAAAAGACATACAGTTTAAACAATGAAAGGTATGAGTTTCTACAGCCAGAAATACAGTGGTGGTGCTTTGGAAAATCATTTGACCCCCTCTTCTTTGTGACAGCCTCTCAAATACTGGAATACTGCTATCATGTTACCAGGGGTGGGCTCCAAAAATTTTAGCAAGGGGTTCTCTCTCCGGTTGCTGGGTGGGCATGGCCATTGTGGGCGTGGCCTAGTTGGCCTCCTGCATCATGGTGGGGGGGGGGGGCTTTTTACCTCGAGCCTCCAAGAGGGCAAAAACAGCCTCCCCAGGCTCCAGAGGCCCTCTGGAGGCTGGAAACAGGCATTCCCAAACTTCTGGTAGGCCCGTTTTTTCGTCCTCCCCAGCCTCCACATGTGCCCTACACTTACCTGCATCCAAAATGGGCCGTGTGGGAACTCCTGGGAGGGGAGGGGTGGGCAGGGCCAGTCAGGAGTGGGATTTGGGGGTTCTCTGAACTGCACAGAATCTTAACTAGAGGTTCTCCCGAACCCCTGCGAACCCCCAGCAGCCCACCCCTGCATGTTACCCCTAGTCCTTCTTTTCTCTAGACTAGCCAAACCCAAATCCTGCAATTAATATTATATGTAATTAATATTAAACAGCCAGGCTACCTCTCCAGTTGCGGGGGTCGGGTGGGGGGTGGGGGTTGCCATTCAGGACCAGGATGTGGTCCAACAGGATGGCTGCAACCCCCACCTGAGCGGGCATCACCTTCTATTGTGCCTCAGAGAAGTGGTAATAAACTTCACTCAAGCGACTGAGGCTTTAACACATCTGCAATCAGATAAAAATGTGCAGGTCCACAATAATAGTTGCACAATGCAAATATTGAAGCCGCACAAATATTAGAGTAGTTGATCTAAATCAAGGCTGTCAAACTCCTGGCCCATGGGCCGGATGCGCCATGTTCTGGCCACGCCCACGCCCAGTTTAGTGAAGGGGGAAAAAGTCCCGATATGTTACATGATGCCGCCGTGATGACATGAGTTTGACCCCCCTGATCTAAATAATGAACCAGTCACCATGAGTCAAAAAAAAAAAAAAATTCTTCTAGAAGTTGAACTTCAGATCTTGACCCAATGTTCCTATTTCTCTTTCCTTTGTCAGTTCTGAGTATAATGTGCCTTCTCCATTAGCACTATCAAATAACAAGTCTTGAGTCCTTCCCCCCCGCCCCAATTTTTAGTAAATAACTAAATGGCACGGGATGAGACTCTAAGCAACAGAGTGTGTGCGTCATTCTCATGGCATATCACTGCTGCCCTGGAATTAAAACACAACAACACACAAACAAATGAAAATGTGCTGTCTTTTTGCTAGCGTCCAAACCGGCTGTCTACAAATGCAACTGCTCCTCCTGTAGTAGGACAGGATCAGTCCTGTTTTTGAGCAAATTTAGGGGTATCCTCAATTTGAGGTCCTTTCCCTTGGCAGAGGCCTTGTCTATCAACATTGTTTAAATGACAAAGATAATAATAGGTAAATGGTGTTGTTGCCAGGAAGCCTGTCTATATAGGGTCGAATATACACTGATATACATGATGGGAGGAAACAGGAGAAGATTCCTCATAACAGTTCCTCAAAGAAGTTCAATGAGTGATGAAGATTTGGTAAGAAGGGTTTGCCTTGGGACAACACAAAGCGGATGCAATGTCTAGAATTTAAAATGGTGGAGTGATCACCCAAAAGGTTGTCAGTTCGAGACCCAAGTACCAAAAGATGGGGTGAGCTCCAGTGGTGAAATCCAAATTTTTTTACTATCGGTTCTGTCGGCGTGGCTTGGTGGGCGTGATGTGGCTTGGTGGGCATGGCTTGGTGGGCATGGGAGGGCAAGGATATTGCAAACTCTCCATTCCCACCCCACTCCAGGGGAAGGATACTGCAAACTCTCCATTCCCTCCCCACTCCTGGGGAAAGGATACTGCAAAATCTCCATTCCCACCCCACTCTGGGGCCAGCCAGAGTTGGTATTTACTGATTCTCCGAACTACTCAAAATTTCTGCTGCCGGTTCTCCAGAACCTGTCAGAACCTGCTGGATATCACTCCTGGTGAGCTCCCATCCTTTCCCCAGCTCCTGCCAACCTACTAGTTCAAAATCTTGTAAATGCAAGTAGATAAATAGGTACCACTTCAGTGGGAAGGTAACAGCATTCCATGCACCTTGGCATATAGTCATGCCAGCTACATGATCATGGAAGCATCTTCGGACAACTTTGGCTTCCTCAGCTAGGAAATGGAGATGAGCACCATTCCCTAGAGTTGGACACAACTGGACAGGGGAAACAATTACCTTTTCAAAACAACACAAATGCCTCCATTGTAACTAAAATCCTCTCCGTGTTGTTTGCTTTCCTCCCGTATATTCTACCTGTGGGTTTCTGTGATTTGAAAACATCAGACAGCTACCATAAAACTCAATTCTTACTTAAAAAGAAAAATTTCCGGGCGAGCCAACCTTCGAAGGTTAAAACATTCACATTTTAAAGGCAATCTCGATGGTTTTTTAATAGGTTGGGTCAATAATGTCAATTGCCTAAACTAACCTCAAAACAAATCATGGATTTTTAGATCTCTTGGTTGTTGTTTTTTTCCTCCCTATGTCCTATTGTGGAATGTGGTTAGAAACCCTTGATTCATAGCAAGACGAGGGCATCAATTTTCAATATTCTGTTAGCAAATTAAAGGCAAAGAGCTACCTTCAGCATTGAGGTCTATTTGCAAACGATATTCCATCAACTTCATCACTTAGCTGTGACTTTAAAATGGCAGCTATATTATCTTGCCCTTTTCGAATTATGCAACTAATTATGCAGTAAGCTTGTTAATGCCACAGGATTATCGTTTCTTGGACCTGAATGCTGAATATTAACCTTCTGTTGTGCAGAAGGAAAGAGGGAAGGAGAAGAAAATTGCTGGGAGGTTCTGACACAACTCTAACGTTGTGCTGTGTGAAGAGCAGTCTATTTCAGGTCTTGTGTAAGTGTCTCTCAATCTTGGCCACTTTGAGATATGTAGACTTCAACTCCCAGAATTGCCCATGTTGAAGTCCACATATCCCCAAATGGCCATGGTTGAAAAATACTGGGTCAATGCTTCTAATGGAATGGCCGCACCCAAGAAGACCAAGGTCTTCATAGGCCTCCTAAAGAGAATGATCAGGTAGAACATAGAATATCTGAGTTGGAAGGGACCTTGGAGATCTTCTCATCCAACCTCCTGCTCAAGCAGGAGACTTTTGAACAGCCATTTCAGACAAATGGCTGTTCAGTTTCTTCTTAAAAGCCTCCAGTGATGGAGTACCTACAACTTTTGAAGTTGAAGCTTTGAAGTATGCTGGGGCTGTCCTATTTAGGAGGGGAGAGGAAGCAAAGAGAAAGAAGGGGAATGATTGATATATGAGAAGCACATCAGGAAAAAAATTATGAGTTGGAAAAATCTCAGGTAGCTTCATGGTTTGTCTTCTGTTGGATGTTTTGTGAGAAAATCCTCATCCTCACAAAAATTCCTAACTAGTTGGTGCTCCAAAATAGGTAGAGAGAAGTAGACTCTGGATCAGACACTTGTGTGGGACCTCCATAGCTCACATTCTACCCATGAAGAACCCTGAGAAGATGGCCACACTTCTAGTTTTCCTTCCACAGCTTCTTAAATTTTGAAGGCTCCATCTGGTTGGGAATTCAAATTCTGGCCAAACATTCCCAGTCTATGAGTTGGCTGAAGCAGCTTTTGTGAACCCTGCCACACAGCCTGGGCACAATGCTTCCTGCCTTATACTCTGGCTTATGTCTTCCCATATTCCTTCTGCATTTTAGTGCCCCTTTTCCCCTTTCAGATCTTCTGCTAATAGGAGGACCATATGCCTGCTTATTCACAAAGAAGATTCTTTGTAAATGTAAACACTCTGTCCAGGCAGAAGTCCAAAATTTTTCCAAATGGTCAGGATTTAAGAAGCAGCTAGAAAAAAAAAAATTGGAGTGCAACATTCTTTGGATGCATCATTTGGATGGAAAAGAAATTGCATTGGTTCTCACTCACTTTTTTGATTTATTTTTCATTTAGTCTCATTTCATTCAGTAAAGGGGTCTCGATGGCTTAGCAGCTAAAGATGCTGAATTAGCTAGCTAGAAAGTTGACAGTCTAGGTTCGAGACCCAAGCGCTGCGGGATGGGGTGAGCTCCTGTTACTTGCCCCAGCTCCTAGCAGTTCGAAAGCATGCAAATGCAAGTAGATAAATAGGTAGGAAGGTGGATTGTACGTAGAGTTGGAAGGGGTCCCTTCCAACTCTATTCCATGGGCATCAGCGTATAGTCATGCTGGCCACATGACCATGAAAAATGTCTTTGGACAAGGCTGTCTGTCTCTGCTAAAATGAGCAGTACCCTCTAAAGTCAGACATGACTGGGCGGGGAAACCTTCTACCTTTACCTATGCCTGCTTATTCACAAAGAAGATTCTTGTTAAAAGTAAACAGGTTGTCCAGAGAGAATTCCAAAATCTATCCAAATGGTTAGGACTTAAGAAGCAGCAAGAAAAAAAATCGGGGTGCCACCTTATCCAGATGCATTATTTAGATGGACTTGGGAGGAAAAGAAATTGCCCTCATTCTCACTCATTTAACAGAATAACAGCATTGGAAGAGACACTGGAGGTCTTCTAATCTACCCTCTTGCTCCAGCAGGAAAACCCTATACTATTTCAGACAAATGGTTGTCCAATCTCTTCTTAAAAACTTCCAATGATAAGAGCACCCACGAGCATCTGGAGTAAGCTGTTCCATTGATTAATTGTTCTGTCAGGAAATTTTTTCTTAGTC